AGGAAATCACTTCCTTATGTTTTATTACCATTACGGTTTTTGTGTTTAGCAATATATTCTGCTTGGGTTATGGATTCAATTCAACTTGGCACTACAAGTTTGTAAAAGCTTAAAATTTTTGTAAACAAGGAGCTGAATCTTAAGATGGGTCATTCTGTTTCATCTTTTTAATTTAAAGAAAAATGCGAAAACCTATATTATGATGAAATATTATAAAAAGTAGTTAAATTTTGAAATGAGTCAATCTGTCTGTTATACAAATTTTTGTATGAAGTAGTTAAATTTCATAATTTATTCATGTTGTAAAAGTGGTCATTCAGATCATGAAAATTATGTTAAAATGATTGCACGGATTTTAAGAACTTGCTTCGTAATTGATATTAAACTAAAGGGAAATTTTCAAAATTAGTCCCACAGGTATAAGGGGTGACAATTTTGATCCCGACGGAACATAGAAAATATGAATAATCCCACAGCTTTTAAAAAATGATCAAAAGTAGGACTTTTTCACCGGATTTACTATTTCCGGCCCGGAATGCCACGTGGCATCCGACGTGTTCATATTTTTTTACAAGTTGTGGGACTAGTTTTGAATTTTTTACATTCCATCGACACCAAAAATGTCACCCCTCTATACTTGTGGGACTAGTTTTGAATTTTTTCCTATCTACGTCGGATGCCAGCGTGTAAAAAATAAGCCACGTGTGCACTACGTGTACGCCACGTGACGCTTCGGGCCGAAAATAGTAAATCCGGCGAAAAAATCTTACTTTTGATCATTTTTTAAAAGCTGTGGGACTATTCATATTTTGTGGATTCCGTCGGGACCAAAATTGTCACTCCCTATATCTGTGGGACTAATTTTGAAATTTTCCCCAAACTAAATTTCTAAAGTCACATTTTGATCAACTTTTCCCAGGAAATTGACGTCAACAAGAAAGATACGTGTAATATTAATTCATCAAAATATATAAATAATCAGAAGCAAACGTCGAGAAAGGGATGTCAAAGTCAAAATTCTCAACTTTAATCGTAACTATGAGTTTATAGTAATTTTTATACTTTTTTCATAATTTATATTTTAGATTTGATTTCACTTTAATTTTTGTATGTTATATATTATATCCTAATAATACATTTCATTTATGCTTGAACACTATTTTATTTATTAATTTTATAATAAATCTTGCTCATTTTATTTACTTTGCGTTAAATAACCAATGGAAAATTTTTCACTGTTTATTTAGTAATAACTATTTATATCATGTAATAATTATTACTAAGTGAAAATTTCACCCCTGATTATTTAATAATTATTTCACTATTAATTATTAAGGGGTATTTATTTTCACTTTTTGGGATCATACATGTATGTATGTGTGTATATATGTATATATATATAATTAAAATTATTATATATATATTTAAAATTGAAATTGAAAAATTTTATAATAGTAATCTAACTAATTAAAGTATATGGTATAATCACATCAAATAAAATTATCAAACAATTTTAAATTTCAATAACCATCTCATAGATATCAATTTTGAAGGGTTTATTTTGACTAAATTAAATAGCTCCTTGAAATTTGAGAAATAATTGTTCAAAAAGTTAAATTAGTTCTCCATAAGTGTTCTTTTTCTTTCTTTTTAATTTTTGTTTTCTTGTTGTTATAATAAAGTGTCAATGACTTTTTTTTAAGTCCAATTTTAAATTTAAATTGAAAATATATTTTAGTTGAAAAATATATTTCAAACAAAAAATGTCGTAAAAAAATGCATACCTATATTATGATGAAATATTATGAAAATTAGTTAAATTTTAAAATGAGTCAATCTGTTGTACAAATTTTTGTATGAAACAGTTAAATTTCATTATTTATTCATTTTCATAAAAATTATGTTAAAATGATTGCAAGGATTTTACGAGATATTATACAAAATTAACGGGGTCTCCCGATGCTACTTAGATAGCCTTAGATCTAATGTCCACATCAATATTACATACCTAAATCTTTTCATTTTTACTTATTAAGAAATCACTTTCGTTATATTTATTATCTTTACATGTGTGAACGTGTTTTTTTTATTAGCAATAAACACAACTTTGAGTTATTTGTGGTGTTTCCTAATTTTTGAAATGTATTATTATAGATTATAAGTAATATCACTTGTGAATTATCTCACATTGATTACAGGATAAATAGACTTAGTTTATAAGCCTAATAAACTAATCCTGGAATTTCACTATGGTACATCTAAGCTATCCTTCTTATGGTGGTCAATACTACTTATTATAAATGTTACATTATATAACACCAACTCCTATAATTTTTTTGAATAGTTACTTATAACTCCAAAAATAGTTATTCAATGAGGATGTGTACTTCACAAAAATGGTTTTGTTCTTAAAGTAATGAATTGTTGGGATCATTGGTGTTTGCCAAAGAGGTATAGCTTTTGTGTAATGAAGGCAACTTTGCAGATGGCTACTTTGGGCATTTTCCCTTCCTTTTTTTCAGTTACTACTTTGGGCATTTTCCCTTCCCTTTTTTTACTAACGCTTGAGTTATTTCGCTTATGAAAAAAGGAGAATATATGGAAATTGCTTTGTGAGTTAAATCTGTTTGCAACACTATCACCACCATCCTAAATTATATTTCCCAATTCCCTTCTTTTTGTTTTGTTGTTCCTAGCCATTTTGGGGTGAGAAATTTTTTCCCAAAAGTCCCAAACTTATACATATGTACAGCCAAAGTCAGAGATGTGGGCCATAAAGACGATGTTTTTAGCTTACATGTACCAGTGCTACTACCGTGTGCCAGGACAATTTAAAATGAACATGTTATGTTACAAAATGAACATGTGCAAACATGATTTACACATGTTCATTTTGTAACATAACATGTTCATTTGTGGCACACCTTGCTAGGTGTGCCAGGGCACACCTAAGTATTTGCGTACATGTATAGCCAAAATTGTCACTGTCCACTGTGCCATTTTTTTTTTCTTCTTCCATCTTATTTTTTATTTTTTCTTTTGCAATTTGTGAGGTTTTTTTTTATTTATTTTTTGTCAAACATCAAACTGCAATATTCAAAGCGGGTAGCCAAAGACCGGAAAACTCAATATGAGTTCCCTACAAGGCCAACATGACCAAACACACACGGTTAGTATAGGTGTCCTAGAGATAACTAATTTAGGACAAATGTACTTGATCATATTTATCTTATATTTGATGATATTTGTGGTTTTGCATTAATTAATGAATTCTTTTGATTGTATGTAATTTATTAACTAATTATTTTTTTTTAAGTTAATACTGTCATTAATAGAGTGAGATATTAATTGATAAAATATAACTCTTAAATTGCCTCAATCATGATTATTAAGAAAATAATATTAATGATACGTGATAGATTGGACTGTGGTCTGCATCATATTCTTGGAGAATATAGTATGTCTCACTACGATGAATAATTGTTATTCGCGGTGGATACATGGATACTTTGGAGAGTATTGGTATACCTTACCAATAAACCATTTGTTTATGGGTCTATGAGCGTATCGGTGTGTGGAATGGTGCAATAGTCCTTTGGCTTCAGGTCAATACACAATTCATTTATAGAGTGATTTACTTAGATCTAGTCCAACGGTTACGCCCTTATGGGTAGATACAAGGTTGTGTTGCGTTGATCACGATATACATGGAATTTGTAGTTGAGCCAAGATAGGATACATTCCTCGAATGTAATTTCGAGAGAACACTTGTTTTCTCTATAGTGAGTTGATAAAGTAATTGACCAATGCACGTGATTATATTTGAAATGGTGTTCAAATATAATTGATAAAATCAACCAGAAAGATGAGATAAAATGATTAAGTTGTTTGGATAGACACACGTTCAAGTCTAGGCTTAATCGAGTGGTTCGTGAATGAAGGGACCGTATCATTATTGAATTCTACACCAAAGGTTTGTTTGCTTTGTCTATGTAAACGTACTTCATATTTTGAGTTCGTCCTTCGACGCAGTCTAGGAGTTTCGTAAGGATCATAAATTAGATTTATGTTGATATAGCCATATTATGATATACCGGTTTGTGTCAATTGCTCGACCAGATGGCGAGTCGAGTAACTGACGTGTCAATCTGAGCCAAAATATCTCCGGTCGACTCTCCATAGTACTAAGGTAAAGGTAGCCGGCATCCCCAAATCGACATGCTCGAAGTCGATTCATTGGTTATATGCGATGGGGAAGTCGACGCCTTATATCACTGCGAGTGGGAAAGATGACTCCCTCAAGTCGACTTCTTCGGGCTGTCTGAATCGAAGTCTGCTAACTCAGGGACGGCGTCTAGTAAGAAGACGAGCGAGCAGTGGAACCTCCAAATATATTCTCATGTATGTGTTCTAAGTCGACCTCCAGGACACTTCACGACATTTAAGAATGTGGAGCTTAGCATGTGGAATAATCCGTTCGTGTTTGTCGAGGGAGCAGAAGTACGCGTTCAAGAATGATAACTCTGCTCACACTCTGTGGAAGGTTTTGGAGGATAAATTTATGAAAAAAAGCAGCCAAAATAAGCTCCTCATGAAAAAGCGATTGTTTCGATTTGAGTACCGACATGGCACATCGATGAATGACCACGTCACTGCATTCAATCAGTTGGTTGCAGATTTGTTGAACTTGCACGTCACACATCTTGATCCCTATTTAATGGCTAGGATTGAGTCTCACATACTCACTTTAAGTATGTGGACTCATTCGAACCAATCTCTCTATATATAGAGATTATCATCATTGGTTTTAATAGCGACGTAATAATAGAAATAACAAACCAATATGAATATTATAAATAACATATATAAGATATGACAAACTTTTTTTTCACTATAATCGCAATAACAAATACTAACTTAAAAACCAATCAAAACTCAAATTTAATTCAACTTTAACCCA